AACCCTGTCACCCACCTTTCCTAATTTTAAACCGTTTGGTGTTCCCATGTTCTGTTCAAACAGCTGCCTCGTGCTCTATGTACAGGTTCCTTTTGAGCACAATTAAGTGTTCTGGAAATACTCATTCTCTTCAGTGTTGTCCATAGCTTGTCATGATCCACACACTCAAAAGTCTTTGTGTAGTCAATAAAGCACAGGTAAACATCTTTCTGGTATTCTTTGCTTTCAGCCAAGATCCATCTGACATCAGCAATATGAGATTGTTGGGTTAAGTGGCAATGTGAAATTGTTGGGTCATGTGGTAATTTTGTGTTGAGCTTTTTGAGGATCCACCAAACTCTTTTCCACGCTGGCTGCACCATTTTGCAATGCCATCAGCCATGGGTAAGTTTCCAGTTTTTCTGTATCTTCATCAACACTGTTTTTTCTTTATCTGCTAATACCCATCCAACGTTTCCCACTGCCATGGAGTCAGTTGTGACTCTTAGTGACCTTTGAGCCCAGAGTTGAACTGCCCCCTAGGGGTCTCAAGGCTGTGGTCTTAACAGAAGCCGACTGCAAAGTCTGTCCTCTGCAGAGCATCTGGTAGGTTCGAACCACTGACCTTTCAGTTAGCAGCTAAGCACTTAACCACTGCAGTACCAGGGCTCTAAAGCCATGCTAATGAAGTGGTATCTAACTTTGTTTTCTATTTGTATTTCTTGAATAAAGGATGCCACCACTCAGTGTGTTGTACTGTGGTGGCTTGCGTGGGCATTATTGTGATGCTCCAAGCTATGCCATTGATGTGCGAAATCCCAAGGTCGCTGCCCACAGGGAACAGGTTTCAGCAAAGCTTGCAGACGAAGGCAGACTAGGAAGAAGGACAGGTGGACTAGTTCTGAATGTTCAGTCCCTTGAAGGTCTCATGAACATGGTCAGATGTAGCACCGGAAGATTTAAACATGATGAATGCCGCCGGAACATGGTCAGATGTAGCGTCAGAAGATTTAAACATGATGAATGCCGCCGGAACATGGTCAGATGTAGTGCCGGAAGGTGAGTCCCTCAGGTTGGAAGGCACTCAAAATACGACAGGCGTATCTTTTCAGCAAAGGTAAATATGCATGAACAAATATGCTCTGTGAAAACTACGTATGTTTGTGGGTGTACTCCCCACTCTCCTTTCCATTCCCGTTCATCCTGTGTGTCTATTCATGTACCTACTCGTAGGTCGCTGCTAGTGCAGATTTGTGTGTATTTACCTCTGTTGCCTTTGACTCTTGCACTCCTTCCCTGTGTCTCCCGACTCCATAATCTATTGCTGACCTCCCACTTACTACGTACTACCTTTCCCTTCTCCCTAGTTAGTACGTGGTGTGGTGCTGCGGGTTAATGAGCTGGACTGCAAGGTTGGTTTGAACTGCAAGGTCGACAGTTCAAGCTCACCAGCTGCTCTTCAGGAACCCTGTACAGGGTTGCTATGAGTTGGAACTGACTTAATGGCACTTCACAACAACAACAGCCGTCTAGTAATTTATTGTCCCACCCCTGGTATCCATCAAAGAACGTTTCTTTTCATGTGAAGACCTTTTCTTGACTTTCTATTAGAGTGGTCTCATCCAATATTTGTCCCTTCTTTTTCAAGATTTCTTTGGCCTGTAAAATTGAGGGTTGACTTTTCCATTTCCACAAAGAACGTTGTCAGACTTTTCAGGGATTGTGTTGATGAATGCACAGATCACTTTTCATGGTATTGACATCTTAACAATGTTGTCTCTTCATCCATGAACACAGATTATCTTTAGTCTTTAATTTCTTTCAACAATGTTTCATAGTTTTCAGTATACAAGTCTCTCACCTTCCTGGTTAAATTTATTCCTAGGCATTTTATTCTTTTAGATGCTGTTATAAATAGAATGATTTTCTTAATTTCATTTTCGATTGCTTATTATTGTTGTATAAAAATTCAACAGATTTCTCTGTACTGACCTTTTTACCTTGCTACCTGGCTGAATTAACTTGTTAGCTCTTGTAGCATTTTAAGGAGTTCTAGTGGCATAGTGGATTACTTGTTGGGCTGAGGACCAAAAAGTTAGTAGTTCAAGCCCACCAGCTGATCTATGGGAGAAAGAGGAGGCTTTTTGCTTTTGTAAAGACTTACAACATCTCTATGATTCAGAATCAACTTGATGATGTTGTGAGGATAATAGCTTTATATTGTATTCTTTGGTATTGTCTACATACAGAATCATGTCATTTGCAAATATGGAATGTTTTACTTCTTCCCAATTTGGATGCATTTAATTTCATTTTCTTGTTTAATTGCTTTGGCAAGGAATTTCAGGACAATATTGAATAGTTGTGAAAATGGGCATCCTTATCTTGTTCCTGACCTTAAAGGAAAAGCTCTCGGTCTTTTTCCATTACATACACTGTTAGCTGTGGGATTTTCATAACTGTCTTTTATCATATTGAATAATGTTCCTTCCTCTCCTAGTTAGTTGTTTTTGTTTTGAAAGGGTGTTGGATTTTGCCTAATGCCTTTTCTGCCTCAACTCAGATGACAATGTGGTTCTTTTCATTTGTTCTGCTACATGGATTGATTTTCTGAGGTTGAACCACCCTTGAGTTCATTTGAATCAATCCTACTTGATCCAAGTGCATAACTCTCTTCATATGCCTTTGGATTCAGTTTGCTAGTATTTTGTTAAGGAGTTTTGTATAGATGACAGAGCTGCAAAAAATTCATGGAAATGATATTGGTGTTTAGTTTTCTTGTAGTGTCTTGTCTGCCTTTGT